TTCTTTCAATTTTGCAAATCACCTGTAATCTTGTACACATAATGTTTGTAACAGCTTTTTTGACTAACACCATAAAAGGCCTCATTAGCCAGTGAAAACGTACAGTAAACTGTTTTACACCTTACAGGCATAATGTGATCAGAGTTTTGATTGAATTGTACGAGAAAAGAAACATTCATGTTTAAATAATCAAAAGCATCACGTTATCAGTTGACAATGCTCACCCACCTGCTCCAGTGCATATGTATCCCTGGAGCAGGTGTCTAGGATGTGGACCCCGAGGGAGACACCTGGCAGTAAAGTGTTGTCCATGTTGATTCTGTCTATGGCGAACAGCATGGCCTCCAGCCTCTGGATCCCTCTGTCCTCGTTCACACGGCCACACTCCTCCATCCCAGCTCCCTTCTCGTGCACTGGGAACAGTCCGCCGAGCACCAGGTCGCCCTCGATGCGGATCTCCCGACGCGACTGAGGTGGGTCTGAGAGCAGGACGCCTTGACACATCATGACCAACGCTAAAGCGGGAATGCGGGCCACCATGTTGGGCTCAGGGGAGAGTCGAGGATTGTCAAAATGCGAGGCGAGGCTTGACAGAGAGTGAGGGAAGCGAGGGGCCGAGGGTTGAGGTTAGGGGCGAGGGGTTAAGAATGAGGTGTGCAGAGCGCAGCAGGGTTGAGTCGAGCAGTGGCCGTGGATGCTTGGGTCGGTTTGTGGCCCATGAAACGGTCAGGGAGAGCTGAACTGGACCGCACATGGAGGGGCACACCATCTGGGCATCAGCTCTACATGCACAAGAGAGGAGACAGAGAGGAGAGGATGGAGATATAACTCAGTCAATCCACACGCGACAGGACGAATCACAAAGCTGTCCGGAGCTACACAATGAAATACTTTTGTAAGTGTTACTATGAAGTATAAAGACAGCAAAGCAGACCTTTAGGGGAGTTTGGGGACACTGTTAACAAGGGCTCAAAGTCATTTCTGCTTCACAGCCAAAGGCAGGCCATGACTAAAAGGGATATGGAACTGTTTGGAGATTGTACCCCACTGTTCTCCAACCTCCTCCTCCTCCTCCTCCTCCTCCTTCCTTACATCAGCCAGTAAACTTTCTTTCTTTGTGTGTGTGTGTGCGTGCATGTGTGTGCGTATGTGTGTGTGCCCCTGGATGTATCAGGATAAGCCAGCTTAGATGGCTGGTTGATACATGAGCCCAGCCTTCTCATGCCACAGATCAGAAAAGCTTCTCTAATCTGATCTCTGTTTCAACAATTCTCCGCTTGTCTATGAGTTTATACCCCTAAGTATGTGTGTGTGTGTGTGTGTGCGTAATATCAGATTTATTGCTCCCCCCTCTCCTGTGCATAATTACAGTGTGAGGACTGAACGCATTTTACCATGAAAGAAGCTATCTGACAACAATGAGGCCAACAACAGCTGATGCTACTTATCGCAGCTTACGACTCAATTAAAGCTGTTTCCTTCAGTCACATTCTCCACCTCCAATTTAGTCAGAGACAGGCTAAAACATGATACATTACGAGGTCTGTGAGCTTCATTTTTAAAAGATGCATCCCACAGATTTTGCAATGTATTTGTCACAGGCAAGCACTACTAAGCATGTAAGGACAGTTATATAATGTCTTGTGGAGGGAGTTTTGGCCGGCGAAGATGCATGATTTTAGCAGGAATCATGCGTTACGAACTGGCGAGAAGAGCTGTGGGCATCTCACAGGAAAGAAAACAGAAGATTCTAAAAGAAGTGTACTTGAAAGGGTGTTTTAAATGTGTTGGGTGGTATTAATATGCACTGTGCATCTGTTATGTTATCTGGATAGTTAGATTGGGTCACTGGACTTTGCATTTAGAATTGGTATTAAAAAGCTTCTTCTCTGTCTTTATTTTACCACCACTGTGATCAATCTCAGTGAAGAATATCATAAGCCAAGAACCACGTCGCCATGCCATGTCCCAGCCAAGTGATGCTGCTGCTGTATGCCGTCTGCTTCGTTTTCTTTTTCACAGTAAGAGCTTGTCTTTGTTTTTTTTCGACAGAGTTGGAGGTATTTCAACTTTTATCTTGCTCTGTGAATCTTTGTTTGCGAAAGCAGCTTATTGCAACCCGTAATTAACTTTTGTTTATCTGAATTCCAAGCAGTTTTTTGGGCATTGTTACATTTTTACTTACTGTTGGCTCATTTTTCACCGTGATATAAAGCCCTGCATTGGTGTGGAGACAGAACAGTCATGGCTAGAAGCAGAGAAAACTCAGAAATGTTATCTATAAAGTAATGCCATAAATGATAAAAAGAAAAATCAAAAGTTGAATTTGTTTGATTACTTATTTTACAAGACTTAAAACAATCTGGAATTAACATAAATAACCTTTTTTTTCCCCCTCAAATGCCCACAGGTGGTACCAATACTGAAAAAAAAGAACGGCATCTTTCATTTTTCTCCATACCTCTGCTATCTGCTATGTGCAGACATAGGCAGCAATTGAACATAATTTAGCCGAGAGTCCCTGAATTTTTGTCGGGTGACTGTTGCTCACAGCTCAGTCATTAATGTCATGGTTGTGCTGGCTGAAAAGTGCAGAATTTTTCATTTTTTACAGAATGAGCTTAGAGCAAACACTTTATTTTTGGCAAAATTTCAAACAAGACATGCAGAATAAAGAAATATCCCCAATTTTTATTTTTTTTTAGCTTAGATTTGATTAAGTTTCCACATGGAAGGGCACGTCACAAATGATTAGTTCAGCAACTGTCAGAAAGATGATAATCCAATAATCCTTAGCGATTTTACCGTTTCTGGATCTGATAGATGGTGTCGTTTTATCAATTTTTAAAAAGAAAACATTTCTATCAAACCTCCCATCGGGTTCTGGGGTTCAGACAAACACACAACCAGTTTCAGCAAATGCCCCAAAACAACATGTTTAAATGCAAATAAAAAAAAACCTTTTATCAGGTGTCAGTGATGGACTTTTAGTGTTTTGATCAGTTTGATAGATTTAAACATAATCTTGGTCCCTCGTGCAAAACAACTGGTGATCCTCTGACTGTTTCCTTCTGTGCCACAAAAAAAAAAGTTGGTGTTATTTGGAGGGGAGTGTTTGAACAACTGTTGGAAGGATTACCATGAAATTTGGTCGAGACATTAATTGTGCCCTGAGGAAGAACTGTAATAACTTTGATCCTCTAATTAGCAAATGTTAGCATGCAAAACATGATAAATGAAGATGGTGGGCACGGTAAACATCATAACTGCTAAACATGAGCACGGCAGAATCGTCATTGCGAACCGACGATGACGTCATTTAGACCCAGATAAAAACATGCAGATGTGGCGCGGCGTGTTTACACCAAGTGGAAATTTTTACCTTTACAATCAGCACGACTTTAAGAAAATGCAATTTGTTCGATATGCATGGATCATCTGTAGGGTATAATAAATACCGTATCATAGCCTGTCTCTCTTTTTCTCTGGCTGTTTATATCTCTTAAACTATTTAGGTAATGCAAAGTTACTTATAAGCCCCGAGTAAGAAATAGCTCTCTTCTTCTTTTAAATTCTGTCTCTCATGTCTCCTTTGCAGTCTCTCCAGTCCTCAGGAGAGATAAGACACAAGCTTGAGGTTGACGTTGTGACCAGGAAAATCAATTTAGACCAAGGAGGAAGCTCGTAGTGAAATTTCTGTTGATTGCCGGGTTGTGTGTGTGTGTGTGTGTGTGTCTGTGTATATATGTGTGTGTGAGATGTCTCCCCTCTTTGGTGGGCAGGTAGGAGGATGAAAGCTTCTCTTAGATGCAGGCAGCTCAAATTTTTCTGCAGGCGGCTGCCATACCTTTACCACTCTGCTCTGTAATATTACACACACGTACAGACAAACACACACCCAGACAAACACCCACCCACACACGCTCACACATACACACAGCCACGCACACATGAACGCACACCTCTGCTTCTCTGAGGGGTTGACCTAAAAGCAGACTATTTCTATGTCTTTGCTTCCTTCTCCCTCAACCAGCAGAGATCTGAATTATTGTGGCCGGGAACATGCAGGATCAGGATATATATGATAAATAACAAATGGATATTGTAGGAAGGACCGGAGGCTGAATACAGTATTTGAACCATGAATAAACTTTATATGATGTACCCTGATGTGGTCCTTTAAGGCCACTCTTGTCCTGGTTGAGCTTATTTTATTTCCTGTCGAAATCCCACAGGAGACAATCTGACATGGACATTTCATTTAACTTAATGCCTTTTTTTTGGGAGGGAAGGAATGACATTAATGGTGCCTATTAAAGATTTATATCTACTCCTGATGCTGTCACACATACTAGATGTGTGCATGTGTGTGAATCTGAGAAATAGGCAGATCCTCCTTGAAGGATTTCCACGAAAATAGTTCCTGGAAATAAACTCTTCAAACAAACCTACATCATTATTAGAGGCCAATTTCAAATTAACACAAAGGGGAACTATGTAATGAGCTCCCTTTCGAGGATAACGCCACAACAAGGCTGCAGACGTAGCTGTGTGTTTGTTTTGAGTGTGTGCACTTGTGTAGCCATAAGCACATGCTTGTATATTTATGAAGCTAAAGCTATAATAACAGCTTCGTTGAACGCCTTACGTTGACAGTATTCTTTACTTTAATTGGCAGCTCTTGAAGTCAATTTCCCAGAAATGTGCCAAATAATATCTCCCAGCATTTTTTACCCCGCTTTCATGGTGTCCACCGAAATTGAATGTTTGCTTCATTATAACCTCTTGGAAAGTGCCCAAACCCAGCTTCCTGTCTGGAGAGCAACTGTGTAAGCAAAGCACACACTGTGAAACAGAAAATCTTTTTGTTTCCTTCTTTATTGCCAAAAGTATTTCCAAGGAGCCTAAAGCACAGGCAGCCACTTGACTTTTCAATAGATTGCATGTATTTTAAGAATCGTCGTATTTCTGCAGATGGAAACCTCTTTATTAGACTTCTAATATATTACTAGGGAGAAAGAAAACATTCCTCAAACACTGTTATGCAGAGCGTTAAAAGCCTTTAGTTAGTTTAAGTTAAAACTGGCTAGTTTTGTCCACACCTCGTCTTCATCGAGGTGGAAACTGGAAAACACAGTTCACACCTGCTGCTGGCCTTTATTACACCAGAATCAACAATTTAGCAGCGCACAAGGAAACGTCTATCATAGTACATTTCCCTATGTATGTCACAGCTTTCACTGCAATGATAAATGCCTTTTTTCTTACTTTTAGGCATCTGGTAGCTTCACATCATGTCAGTTTGTGGAATATAGAAATTTTCTTAAGATATGTATCACAAGAAAACAGGTGAGAAGATCTAACACCCACGTTTGAAAACTTTCCATTACCAAATCCATCATATCCACAAATTCTCTAATCACATATTCAAACTGTCTGAGTCCACACTGTAAAAGTATACTGAGAAATAGATGCATAGTTGTTGTTATTATACTACATTCTGGTCCCCCCCCTGGATCCTCATGGAGAATTCCATACAT